GGTTACTTTTATAATTGATTTATTTATGAGCATTCAATTCCTTATCAGACCTATGACTAAATACAGACCTATACAATGCAAGAACACACATTGAGCTCACTGCAGTTTATGCCCAGGCCACAGAAGTACAAGGCTTTTCAGCAGATGATGAGCTACAAATGCAAAATTCAAGCTGTCTCTGCAATAAAAAAGTACACGGGGACTTTGAATAATGTATGAGGCATCGTTTTGAATAGCTCTGGTAAAACTGGTTTTGCCACATTTATTGCTGCAAGTTAATATGTAATACACTCCAGTACCATGCAGTAAAAAGCAGCTCCATTAGGTTTATGTACTGAAAGCATCTTGCTCATGCCCACTTCACTGAGTTTTCCCATGGTGAATGTGCATCCATCCTTGAAACATGCTGGTTGAATACACACAGCTTGCCTACCAGGCTTCAGCTGAAAGCAATCTTTCTGCAGGCTGCTTTGGGAAAATTATGAGTAGGCTGCTATTAATACTCTGATGCAGACAAATTTAACAGCTGCTATCATCAGGCTGACAGCAAATATATGATAAAGCACTAGAGCATGATTCAGTCAGCGAAAACAGTGATTAATCAGCAACAAGAAAGGTCTAGAGGACAAAGATCACGTATTTACAGTGTATGTACTTACCAGATCAGCTACACCCATAAATAGAGCTCAGCTCAAACTCTAACCATATTCAAACAGGCAAAAATCAAAGAGCAGTAAAGGTTAGAAGGAGACACTATAATACCTTCATACAGGTACTGTCTGGGCAGAGGTTGTGTGAGTGCTTGGCAATTGTAAAAATCAGTTGTTTCCTGATCAAACATCAGAAAACTTGCAGCAAGTCAGTATTACAGATGGGAGGGGAAAAAGCCAGAATTCCCAGCTCCCGTGCACCAGCTGCTTAGGATAAATCTCTTTTCTATTAAAAAAACCCGTGCACTGTTGACAAACTGGAATGTATTTTCAGAAAGCGAAACGACTTCCCTCAACAAAAGTACTTGGGACAAGAAATGCAGAGCAATTACTTGTGTGTACAGGTCTGGTGACATTTATCTCCAGTGCCCTTTGGTTTTCAGACCAACCTTTTACCCATCCCTCTATGAAGTTGTGGGAAAGGGAGGCCCTGCAGACACAGCAACGCACACTACCAACACCAGCCCAGCCTCCTGCACCACCAGCCTGGCTCCTGCTCAGCCTCCCCAGCCTGTTCTGAACTTCAGGCCCACTTTAAAATCTGCCAGAAAAGAGTCAGCTACGGGATGCCTGCTCTCCTAAGAGTCTTTTCCAACACAGTTACCTGTTTTGTTTTGCTGGAATTTAAACAGCAAGAGAATGATCTTAGCTAGAAGCATGTAATTCCCCATAGAGCTCCCCAATGCAACTGTGATGACTACAGACGCTGACGTTTTGAATCAGGACTCTTTGGGATGAAATTTTTTTATAGCATTGCTGGGAAGGCAGGTAAAAAACGATGGTAGAACAGGTTTATATAGAAATTAATAACCTGCGTACCTTCCAAACTCCCTGCAGACTATCTAACCTGTCCAAGCCTTCTTGACCTACCTACATTTAGTCAGTGTAACCACGTAATGAGTTTAACCGCCCATTAATTTGTCCTGAGGTATGCTAGTAATGAGTAGCTGCTTTTCTATCAGCATTTAAAAGCCATAATTCGGCTATTCATCAGCACTGAATGTTCCTTGCTGATGCTTTCTACAGTACACCAGGGTAAATCTGGATAAATTGGGTAATTCTGTAAGAGAAGCTAAAGCCTCTTCATGTCCCCATACTCTTCCTTCCAGTTCCATTGTAACATTATAGACTTTTTAGTTGAGTGTGAATACATAGTAGTTTCACACGTGGCTTTTCTAGGGTGGTGGAAAATTTTCTTTCCTATCAGAACAATTAGTAATTCAAAGCTACTAAAAGACGGTCATGGTCATGATCTAGAACCTTCATCTAGAATCCCCTTATGTGTGCATAGGACCAGTTGTTAAAAGCAAGGTTATTCTCTTCAAATTTAGCAGACAGGTAGTGTTCCGTTACCAGAAAGGTAGTTTTACCTTACCAGAAATATGAATTACACTCTTTTTTATCCCTTGTTTAAAAAACACAGATTATTTGGTACACAGTCCATGAATAATCATTTAGTAATCCATGAATAATTTATTGCAAGAGAAATATTAGTATCATTTCATTAAAAATTAAAATTATTCCAAATTAATAACTAAATACAAGCATTTTCAAAAATAGCATCTCTTACAGAAAATGTTCTTATACAAAAAAGATAATAATTTACCTCTTAAAATTATAGACTAACTGTACACCATGAAAATAAGCATTACTTTGGTTTTCTGACAAGATAAGAAAATAACATTATTCTCCGAGTAGATGTTATTTATGTATAAAAGCAAATACACAGGTCCAGTAGAAAACACAGATTGTTTCCTCGGTACAAGTTAATTTACTGCCAAGAGTTAGTATAAAAAGAGCCCAGACTTTTGCAGAACCATTTCCTATTGATTCCAAGTGCCCACTTTTACTACACTCCTTGCACATTAGAGAATACTTCTGCTTCATCAGTAGGTTCTGCTTGGCATATAAATCTCAGCTAAAATCAATTTTTAATTGCTGAAATATTAGCATCCTCTGTCAAAGGCTCCTGACTCACACTTACAAACTCAAGAATTGGAAATGCTACCTTTCTGATCAGTTCCTCGCGACCCCGTATCTGATTGTTGAAATTACTTTCTTGCTCACAAAATGGCAACAAAGTGCACTGTAATAAAATAAACCCTGGACTGTGCAAGCTGGTTTTGTGAGATAAGGATCAGCGACCACAACTGAAGAGCACACTGTGGTACAGAAACTGATCTTCAAGACTAACAGTAGATCAATAGACAAAACATCTAATAGAGGTAAACGCTCATTTCTAGAGAAGTTGAAAAGGACAAACCAAAACAACAGAAGTTTTGATGTTTCTCACCCCTTGTTCACAGCCCCTCCCTTTCCTAGTACTTTTTGAAATAGCACATAGATTGGAAAAATAGGTTTTGTTTCTATAGCAGAGTATAAAATAATAATGCTGTTAAGGAACAATGTGTCCTGGTTTGAGAGCACCAAGCTAAAAGTTCTCTGGGGCTCATGGCACTGGTGGCAACCGCAGAGGGGGAGAGGGGGCAGCTGTGCCCATGGGGAGGCACAGTGTTGGGAGCTGTCGTTGTTGGGAGCTATCACGGGGACGGTGGGCTCAGGCGCTCCTGTCTGCTGCTGAGTCCAGTCAGGAACTTCTCTGCTTAGGACCTAGTTGCCATCTGGAAGGTGTGACCTCCATATTAACATCCCCTTTTCTATCCCTGAATATATTTACATGTTTATATATAGTTCAACATCTTTATTGTTATTCTTAGTATTAGTTTTGTTTTCATTAAACTGATTCAAGTTTGGTTTTTCCCAGCCTCACAGTCTCTCTCCCTGGTTTCCTCTGTCATCATTCCCTGGGAGGGTGGTGGGGAATCACAGAAAGCATCTGTCAGAGCTTAGTGGATGGCCCAGCCCTAAACTTTGACACAATGATATCTTTCCACAAGATGAGAAAACTTTTTGAAAAGCTTAAACAGATTTTGATGAAGACATAGCAATGTTAAGAAGAAAAATGTAAATCAGGAAAGCCCCTTAAGCCTCAGAGTGGTATAAAAGAGAGGAAATTCTTAAGCGTGCATTCTGCTTTTCTTCTGCCTTTGAAAAATTTATTCTTTATAAATTTTAAGGCAACAGTAAATGTGTTCAGGCCTCCAATGAATTTGCTTTATCTTAAAATGTAGCTTTGTGATAGTGTGTGGGTTTGCCTGGCCAGATGTGAGGATCGTCTCCCATGAGAGTGACCCCACAAGGGCCCAGGGGAAGAGGAAGGAGTCCTCCCCTGGAGGAAGAAGCAGCAGTGGAGGCAACACCAGATGAACTGACTGCAATCCCCATTCTGTGTCCCCCTGTGTCACTTCGGGATAAAACTGGGATTGGTGTTAAGCCCAGGAAAAAGGGAGGGGTTGGGGGGAAAGTGTTATTTTTAAGACCTGGTTTTATTTCTAATTACTCTGATTTTTTTCTTTAACAAATTTAATTTCCCAAAAATCAAGTCTGGTTTGCCTGGGATGGTGAATGCAAGTGATATCTCTGTCTTTATCTCAAACCATGGCCCCTTTGTTATATTTTCTCTCCTGTCTAGCTGAGAAGGGGGAGTGATAGAGCACCAATATGGGAACCTGGCTACTGGCCAGGGTCAAACCACTACAGACAGTTTTGAAACAAAAAGGTACACACACATCCAGGGATTTGAAATCCATTCAGGACTCCTAAGGTAGAAGAACTAGGATTTTGCTGTTAAAACCTGATTTTGAAGGAGAATGGTTACAAAGAACCCCATTTCATACATTTCTGGTGACTTCTATTCATTGGTAGGTCACCAAAAATGAAAAAAATCCCCACCACTTTGCATAAAACTTTATATTAAAAGCTAAAAGGGTTAAATATTTTCATATAATATTTCCAATGAACATCCTTCAGGCAGATCACCCATAAGTTTGCTTGGCAATAAATTACAAAAATATAGTCTGAAACATTAAGGGCATCACTAAGATAACAGCAGAGTGCTCGTCACTTCAGCAAGGATCATCCTTTATCATGATGGGAAAATTGCTCTTTGTAAACCTGTCTGAGTAAGACCACTATTTTCTGCTAAAATTCCCCATGATGGAAAAAAAAAGGATGAGGTTGTTCATTGCATGACACACAATCACTGTTGAGTTTCTGTCTGTCATGTTAACTATTGAACATTTTCATTCATTACTACCTACAGCTGGCCCACACTTATCAGGTCCTACAGATGTTTTTCCAGAGGACTGCAGAAGAGAAGAATGTTCTGGTAGACAGGTGGGCTGAGTCTGCAGTTCACGATACTTCAATGAATTACACTGCTCCAGAGTTTCATTGACTGAATAAAACATTTTCCTCTTCATATGCCAAAGTTGGGTCTTCCATGCTCTCCAGTAAAGTGTGACAGGTTTCATATTCACGGTGTGGTGACGATGGTGCTTTGGCAACAGTGGACATCAACTGGCTCCAGGTGATGTTAGCATTTTTAAATGCGTGCAGTAGGAAAATGCCAATGATGATAGTACAGAATCCACTCAGGGTTCCAATGATATCACCTATGTCCATATTACTCCACTCCTTGAACAGGATGACGGAGCATGTCACAACCGTTGTGGTGAAACACACGTAATAAATAGGTGTCACCAGAGACGTATTGAACACGTCCAATGCTTTGTTGAGATAGTTGATTTGAGTGCTCACGGAGAGCACTAAGATGCCCACCAAAATGTAAACCAACGGGTGTCGATAAACTGGTTTGTGCTCCAGCATCTGTTTAATGGCAATGCCCAGGCCTTTCACAGATGAGACCGAGAAGGCGCCAATGAGTGAACAAATTAAAACATAGATCAGTATATTTGTCTGACCTCTCCTTGGAGCCACAATAAAAATCAGCATGAGGGCAACAACTGTTAGGAGAACAGCAAACATAACAAATGCTGTAAAAAAGAGGAAAGAAGAATAATGCACGTAAGAGAAAATACCAGACTATGTTTATGTACACGCTAAAAGTTATTCAGTGTCCCAAACTCGTCTCTCTAAACTGTAGCACAAGTTCATTGCCACTGCATACAGACCTGGATCTTGCAGCTTTCTTTCCATCTCATCTAGTGAGTTGACCTCCTCTTCCTCAGGGGCATGAATTACCATGACTGTGGACCCCAAAATGCTCAGTATGCAGCCAAGCTTTCCATGGATATTCAGCTTCTCATTTAAAAAATAGGATGATAATATAGCACTGTTTGGCAAAATATAAATAAAAGCTTCAGCTCAACCAGCCAGGTGAGACATTATCAAAATCTGCCTATGTAACATGATAGTAGTTCAAAACCTCTTTTGAATTTGGATATATGGGAAACCAGCCTGAAACAATTAAATTCTAAGGATTTTTGCAAGAAGATAGAACCGGACTGAGAAGGTCAGATTTTAGCTGTAAAGGGTCCAGATTGCTCAAGGAACTTCTCATTATCAATTGCCTGGGTCAGTGGTATGCACTCACAATCTGCAGGTCAACAACATGGGCTGTTACTTTCTTCCAAAAGTGCTTTAAAGCATTTTATTTGCCCTTAGAAACTGTTCCTCATTGCACCTCAGGTTCTCCCACCCAGGCACACTTTCTGCCTGGTTTGCCAGGACTCCCTCAAAAACACCGAGAAGGCACCTCTGCCCCTTCAGAAGACTGAACCCAGGTTCTCCAAGGGATTCAAGATTTAACATAAGGATAATAGCACAGCACAAATGAGGCCACCTCACAGGGCACACAGTTAGCTGGCTAGAGCATGACCTTAGGCACAGATATAGGCTTAATGGTGTATGGATGTGCTCACAAATCATTTTTCAACTCACTTACCAAATTACAGCTATTTTTTGGCACAAGGGTAATGACCTCATGAACACAAAGTTCTCACAACCTCTCTGTTCCGTGAAAATTTGAAAGATTGCTATCCACATCAAAGGCGAGGGGTGTTAAAACTCAGGCTGTTTTGCAAAGCAGCAGCCTGGCAGCCAGTTAGTCTGCATCTACCTACACCCTGAACCTAGCACATCTGTAGGTGACAATTACACTGGTTTCCTATGACAGAACAGCTGCATTTTTAGCAGTTAGATTACTGCAAGAATGTTTAAAAAATATATTTATACATGGCCCAGGTTGGCTTTAAACACAATGTTTCATATAGCATACTCAGGTCTTTAAAAGAGGAAGTTTAAAATTTAAATTACAGTAACTCCCTTTTGTTAGTAAATTATTTTCCATAATATTTCAGGTAAGTGCAATCCATGTCTTATCTGCTTCTGTGATAACCACATTAATGTATGTGCTGAGGTGTTTAGGAATTATTGATTTCTTTGTACACTGAAAATAATGAATGTTTGAAGGGCATTCGTATATCAAAACAATCACAATTTTTACCTGTGGATATTAAAAAAGCTAAAATTTTCTTTGCCTTCTTTCCAGAAGGACGTGGAAAAGACTAAACAAACCTGAAATGCTTACTAACTGTGCCTTAATATGAAATTATACTCCTATAAAAAAAGAAATTATTTTGAAGATGTTTTAATGGGGAAATACTCTATTTTTTTTTGAAGAATTTTAACAAGTGGAAAAGAGGATAAGACTTAAGAAAGCTTCGGTTCTCCAGGAAGAGATAAATTACAGCCTTTTACCATTGTGCATCAGCAGTGTACATGGTGTTTGCTGATAAAAAATACTTTATAATATAGGTGGAAGGCTGTTGGGAAAGTATATATTAGTCTTTTGAGCAAGACTTCTTATTCCCTCTACACAGAAAATTCAGTTCTAAATAAGACAGGGATCTTTCCACCAATGAACAAAAAGCATTTTTTGTCCACATACTGCTTTTCAGTTTTCTTATTCAAGTTCTTTACTTTAAGCCAAAGACATTATTTTTCCCTCACCCGTGAACAGTTCATTCGTGAGGGTTTGCTCCCAGTTTGTACCAACCTTACGAGAACACTCAGTGCACCCAAGGGGGTAACTAAGGTTGCAGGTGCAAAGGCGTAGGCAGCGAAGTTTGCAGCTTCTCCTAATCCCACTGCAGGAGAAAGAACATTTGGATCAGGTTGGGGTGGGGGAGAGGAATAAAAGGAATATCAATATAAATCCTTGATACAATAGCAAATACAAACCCCAATCTTTCTTCTACACTATATGTGCAAATTTTCCTTTCAAAATTATCTAACCTCCTCTGGACACAACAAAGGCAGAAGAAAGTTAAATACTTTTCCCCTGAGTACTCCTAGTAGCTGGACAGATTAAATCCCACTGGTTTTGACTGGTTATTAAAAGAAAGGTTGTTATTCTGCAAACACAGTATTTGAGAGACGGGATATCAGAATGGCTTCTGTCATAAAGGTGATTGCAAAGCTGTTTAAGTGAGGGGAGTGAAAAATCAGGGAATATATCTATTTAAAACAATCTGCTAAAGCAGTAGTATTTACATATGGATTGAGAGGAAAATGGTGACTTACTTGAAAGTAATCCAGCCCACCAAAGCCATTCTTTCAAATAAGAATGTCCTCCCTGTCCTGAAAGAAGCAAAAATAATCTCATCTTGGAAGAAAGAGATCACCGTATTATAATAAACTGAACTACAGCTTCACATTTGCCTCTAGTCATATAAAGCACTGAAAGAGCATGTTATCTGGATGTGATGTGAAAAATATTTTGATTTCAACTGATATTTTTAGTAATCACTCTACTGCTTTGTGGCTTGAACTTCTGAAAAAAAATAATATCTGGTTAAAAGGGAAGTTCTAAGCAAAAGTAAAATGTTCATGAAGATTGCTGGTGAGCTTAAGAAATGCTTCAAAGTTCTTTCCCAGGTCAGATCCAACATATCCAAACACAGACAGCTGCATTTTGAGTCTGGTTATACTTTAAATTGAGAAAAATTAGAAAGAAAAATGCCACTGCATGCATTAATTTTTTTTGACATAATATAGAAGTATACTGAACATTCAGTAACTCATTTGTTTCAAACAATCAAATTCTCTGGAACAGTATATTGCAATAAGCAATACAAACAAAGAAGAACCAATAAGGCCATATACTTAAATCCATGCAACGAGAATGATGGTATTAGTCCAATGAGTCGTCTTCTAGCTTTTCATCTGTTCACTTTGATGAAAGAAGAGCTGTACTGACGGTAAACCCTTTTGTAATAACTACCCTTTCTACAGCTCATTGCACTTTTTAAAAAAAAGCAACAAACCTAAACCTAGTTACTATTTTAAGACTGTCCATCTCCAATGAGGGCAGGGGAAAGGTGGAAAAAAGAAAGAGAAAAGCATTTTGAAGGGTAAGATGAATGCAGAATTTAATTTAGTATGTAACTGCTGTCAGGAAGGAAATATCACCAATTTACTAGATTTAATAGCTACCGTTGCTCCTACAGCCCTAGGAATTCTGAAATCACATCCTGTAATCACACACAGAGGAAGAATAAAGTATTTCTATCCCTATTTCCATCCCTTCTGACCACCGTTAAAGCACAACTATTTTCAACAACAGTGTTCGTAAACACGTGATCTGTGACTCCAATCCCAATTTTGCCAAGTTGTAAGACACGTTCCTTGCTCGAGCAGGAGCGAGGTGGACACCTCTGCTTACCAGCTCGGGGGACTCCTTTGTCTGCCAATTTCAAAAGTCCTTTCTTCTTCAGGATGAAACTAGAACCAATAAAGATACTGGAACCTATTGCCAAAGCCAAGCCAATGTAGAGGCAGTATTTGCTTCCTGTAGGGGTGGAAATGCTCTGGTTCATTTCGTTGAGAGTCCCGTCCATAGAGGCAAGGAGAGGAGAGCGGGATTCAGACATGTTGATGATCTGGCACCATGCTTGCCAGGAGTCATGGCAAGGAAAAGTGAGCACAGCACCTGGGAGGAGATAAATGAGGACAAATGATTCCTGAACAAGGGACTGCTCTGGAGGAGCCCCATCCTTGCACTGCTCACTCCTTTCCATGTCTTCCCGGAGCACTTGTCATTTCTGACCGTGCAAATAACTCCATTACCCACCCCTGGAATTCACTGCTGCATAAACAATTTTAGATGCATATTTTGCCCAGTCAAGCAATTACAGCAATACTACGGAATGCAACAATAAAATATTATCTTTGATGTAAAATTCAACTTGAAATTGTAAAAGCTAATTTGGAACCTCAAGATGAAATTGTTCTTTTGTGCTTTGCAGAAACCACATCCCCAAAACATAAACACATAGCCAAATCCATGATTTCAGACTTTGCCTGCCAGATTAAGCCGGCTACTATTTCAGGCTTTTGCTTTTATATTTGGAGCTGAGAATTTGAAACAATAAATAAAAAAGACAAGGAAAAAAACACCACAGAGGGAACAAACTCCTGCTGCCTGTGGGCACGGATATATTTTATTAAAATTGTTCAGTAACTGCTGTGTGAGCCAGATCTTCTTTAATCACTTGTAAAATTCTCAGGTGGAGGCCTCATAACATCTCACAGCCATTTTCACCGAACCTCAACAAGCCCTAGCCTGGAGGAAGTCCACAACCTGCCTAGGGACAGCCCTCCCAGGCTATCCCAGCAACACAGCTGAGCAAACACTGAAGCTTCACACTCTCTGCCAAGTCTTATCAGCATGACTGTGATGGTGGCTGGTGGCAATGACATCGTTGCCATCAGCCTACGCACATTTTTTAAAGGAAGAACAGGTTTGCATTTCCAAGAACAAAAGGAGACGTTATTCTGCAAAGGCGAAGCAGGGGACAGGCAGAAGTGCTGCAACGGGGCTTATGGTTGTCTAGGCTGATGTTTCACAGTTTCTCATGGTAGGTAGCATCACACAAACAGCATGGATCAGAGAATCTAGGCTGGAATAGCTTTTAAGAAGAACCTTTTTGAAAAGAAAGGTTTTGCTGTGAAGACATGTTAAAATACGAGACAGCTGATGCAGAATTACAAAAGCTCCGTCCATTATGATTCATATAAAGCACTGGATGCAACAAATGATTTTGCTTCCCTTGTTTCCCTTGTAATTAAAATGACACATGAAGGATTCATCCTGCTGAGTGGCATCATTAGTAACACACTCACTTTTTTCCCCCCAACTGATGGAGATGTCCCTCTCCATCAGTTCATACTTAAGCTCTGGAAATATTAATGCTCTGTCAAAAGTACTTCACCACACAATTAACAATAAGAAGCCTTGGATGATTTGCTTAATACTGTTCAGGAAGGAATATTTAAATTATAAGAAGTATTAAAAACAGTATGAAATTTGACAGCATATCTTTATTCACAGCTGACAATGTTGATACTAATACTGGGAGATACTGCCCTTTACAAGTAAGGAAATAGAATGAGAATCTGCTCCCAGTTTTCCTGTGCCATGCTGTACAACAAACATACTGCAGGAAGTTATGATTTGATTTTCAGCCCGTGCAATCACATTTCCTTGTTTGCCAAGAGAATTTCTATATAACAGGACTTGGTTTGTATTGCTAAGGCAGACTTCGTAAAAATGATCCCACAAGATGGGTACGTCCACACCCTGCAGCTGAAGATTAACATCTTAAAGAGCTTATAGCTACATAAAATTACTTTTGCATAGTATGTAGCATAGATAGTATTCTGCCATCTTATCATCCTTAAAAGTTGCAATTGGGTAACGTAAAAGGAATGGCATTTGCATCTCTATCTGAAAGTGTTTTAAAATTCTCAAGTATTAGCATAACCTTAGAAGAAAATTTTGCATATACTTAAGTTTTGACATAATTATTAAAGACTGAATCACAAAAGAAAATTACAGAGAAGTCCTTTAAGCATAAATGTTGCTCTTAGCTAACCCATACCAGGGAGAGGCAAAAAAGTGGAGAGGTTACCAGTGAATTAAATCCCTTAGCTCTCAAAACCTTGTAATGACGCTAAACCAGACCGGTGGCAGTGGTACCATCATCAATGAGCTACTACAGGCTTTATATGAGAAGCAGCAATATTTCTTGCCTTTAATTAAAAGGAAAGATGAAAATAAAACCTCCTGATAAGCATGGTCTTTTAGCTACCTACAATGGTAACTGCTGGTAAAGTCAGCTTTCTATCAGCGTTTTGGGTTTCTACAGTGAAGAAGATAACACTCTTCTCCGTTTTGTGAATGGTGCTCTTTCATTTAGCTGGAGATGAATGGCAAGCTTACTTCCTTCCATAAGACACGACACTACTTTTTCCACTGATTCTTAAGAATTCCCCAGCAGACTCTACAACATCAAATACTGAATATTTAATCGTGCCATCTGCAGTAAGTCACTGCCACAGAATGCTTCTCTCCTTTTGCGAATATAGTGTTTGCTTGCTTTTACGAAGAGATGCTGGATTTTTCGGCTTTTCCATCTGCCAGCTGAGAAGAGTCATTTTGAGCGGTTGAGATCTGTTTATTGTGCTGAGTAGCTGCTGCTTCTTTCAAAAAACCACGTCATTTGTTCCACTTGCATGTAAAGTGGTATTTCACTCTACTGATCGATGAACCACCTGAGAGCTGGGAAGAGGAGGCTGGTCCAGAAATTACTATTTCTTTATTGCCCACTGTGACAACCCTGAAGATTACCTGGAAGGACTGAGGAAGGTGACAAATCTCGAAGGCCACCTGGCTTGCTCAGCAACCAGTTTCTGTAGCTAAGCTGGTTTCACATCCAACTTACAAATGTCAACAAACATGAACCTGTCAGCAGAACCTCTCCTTACAGAAATAAACTCTTTGAGCTCTGACTCAAGGCTGATAGCAACAGGAAACCAGTCTAAGTTCAAGTGGCCACCGTTGCGACTTCTAAAGTGTTTTTACGATTCACTTCAATCTGTCTTCTCAAACACCTAAAGATCACCTGAGCTGGGTAGATCAGCCAGCCCAGTACCACACACCCCTTGTAGCAATTCTAACCTGCAGCTCTGGGACTAACGTACCCTGCGGATCACTACCGACAGCCAGCTCGGCTTCTGTCCTGCCACTGAAGACACTGGTCCTAACTCATCCGGAAAACTATTTGCTTTGACTAGACACGTAACTTAACCGCTTTCATTGCTCTCAAGTCAGCTCACGCCTGGCAGGGACACGAAATGCCTTTCTGGGTCACCCGGGAAATACCAAGCCCACCTTTCGCCACGGCCTGGCTACTGGGGCCAAAAGTGGAGGTACAGAGGAGCAGCAAGGGATGGTCCGCCGGCACACTCTCCCTCCCCAC